ATATTTTTTTAGAGGCGATTGAAAAAAGAAATATAGATAGTTAATTAGAGAGGCGATTAATTTTCACGATATTCAACAATAATATAATAATTTGAAATTCAAACAGATCGGGTTTGATTTCGGTCGAATATTATTTCAATAGATGTATATGGATGTTAAAGATTAGACTATGTTTAGTAGCACTTTCACCACCATCAAAAATTCATTTTATCATGTTCAATTAATCTATAATTACGTTAGATTAAATTCAACTCTAACATTAATATAATAACGTTAATATCGATTTAATTCCATCGTTCATAAATGATGACTTTTATCTTATGTGTTACAGTTAATTATCCTGCAATATTCTTTCTAATAACTTTTCCCTCGCCTATTATATTTATCCTATTATTAATCAATCCAATCTTCGAAAAAAAAAAATAATATCAGAAGTTACTTTTTCATTATTTAATTACCATCAAATGATAATCAAACGTTCACTAATTTCTTCGAATAAATTTCAGTCTCCGTCGAATACGTGCTAAACGAATACGTGATTGCCAATATCCAAATCCTTCAACTCACCCATCCACGTTTATGATGTAGAAAAAAAAAAGAAAAGAAACGAAGAAGCGAAGACAACATCGCTCAAGAATGCTGTAACCAGTGACAGGTCAATTATAAACGGCTAAAAAACGTCGGGGGGCAGGCCGTTCGGCGTGTCGTTTCGCGAAGCACGTGTACGCCGTTTTATGGTGGCAATAACTTACAATTATGTCATCGTTGCTCGGTTATTTTTATGCGGCACACGCCACGCCTGTCTTCGTCACCGACGTTCAAACGAATTCATCCTTTCTCCTTCCTCTCTTGTCGCTCTCCCCACTCCTCGACCCTTTTTTTCCTTCGCTCGGTTGAGGAGCCGAGGAGCTCGGGCAAAAGGGGAATCCCCCTCTGTCGAAATTTCGCAATTTTTCCTTTGTACTGCGGCGCGCGTGTACTACGGGCTTATGGAAGAATTGAGGGTAAAGAAAATATTTATTTATTTATTTATTTTTTTTTTTTTGGAAAAAAATAATAGTCCTCGCTAACAATTGTTTTCCAGTTTTCCATGTTTTTTTTTTTCATTTATTCGGCTTTGTCAAGCGTTCGTGCGCAAAAATATCGACGAAAGGATGTTTTATTAAATTATGAATAATTGAAGTTGAAGATGAAGACGAAACGAAGGCAGATAACAAACAGATGCGACAGATAATGGATTCTATATCTCCTAGATTGCTTGTGAATTTAATAAATAAACTGGAAATAACTTTCACAGATTTTTTTCCTCTTAGAATTTTTCAAACGTGTCTTAGAGATATATTAAAATCTTCTATAAATTTATAACATATACATTTTATAATCTTTTGTAAAATTATGGAAGGATGGTTATGTAAACTGCTACAGATCGATCGAATATATCATCCTTTTTACTCCCTTTTACGAGTATTCTCGACGTTTTCTAATATTTCACTCGAACTGCGCTGGAAAGGGACCAATTCTATGGATACCGAACTCTGGATCCGCCATTATGGGAGCAATCTCTACGCCAACAAGATTCTTCCGTGAATTTCTTTGCACTCTGGATGGACTCCCGTTTCCCACGGATTTATGGTTTACAACGATGGTCGCAGATTACAAAATACAAAGATCGTTGGAAAAAAGTTGGACGTGAAAAGATGGTTTGGCCGGAATTCGGGGAAACCGATGCCAGAAGAATTCTTCGTTTCCGTTCTTGATTTCCGCTCTTCCTTACCGACACGATTCTTTCTACGCCCAACCTTACTTAAAACGTTTATCATCGATCATCGCACAAAAGTTGGCAACACTGCTCTTCGCCCGACAAACCAGACTATTCCCAGAAATAAGTGGAATCGCTAATTAATTGATCGCCAATTATGGAAATCAAATGGAAGAACGAATGAAAATGAAGTGGAAAAAAAAAAAAAGGATTTGGTAAGATTAATCTAGGGAATTTGTCAAAGTAGTTAGAGATTTGTAGTTATTACTCGTGACAGGCGATATTATGCTTCTTAAGAGAGTCGTTTGGAACGAGCCTAAAGTGACTTATACGCTTTGAGCATGAAACACGTCACGTGGTCTAAAGAACAACGTCGAGGTTTAACATGTAATTTCGTTACACTAGGGCCTTCAAACGTGAAAAGACGTGTAAAGCAAATTGTATTATTATCACGATCAAATAATAATTTAATGAAATATACATATATATATCGAAGTGAACTTTAAATTTTAAAATCGTATTTGAAGAAAAAGAAGAGAATTTTTTTAAAACTTTACGACAAAATGGAGAGATATCGCATTGAAAAATATTATTTCGCATCACGAACTCGTTCCCACACATACAATGGAATAATTGGGAGGCAAAGAAAGCGTACTTTTGCCCATCCTTAGCTCAACGTATAATCCGTTGTGTCGCATTTTACTTGTAATTTACCGTTAAATTAAACTCGCTCGCTACTCGCAATTTAGGGCTAATTAGTCCCCGAAACTTTAATCATTCATTCACGTATAATACTTTATTAAATGCGTGGGACCAGAAGTTGACCAATATAGTTAACTTTCCGCCATTAAAATTTCCTTCCAAATGTGTTCTTCTTAAATCAACTTCCAACGTATTACACCCCCACCCATACCATCTATGTATAAATACCGAAATACATTCTTTCCAGATTCTATCTTCCCTCGCATAAATAATTCACGATGCGTTACGTACATCGCTCACGCTTCTTTTATATTCCCATATCACGTTGCAAAGAGCGAAACGTACGACTATGAAAATCGAATAAGAAAAAATCCCCTCTAAACAATATTAACAACAACAACAACGACAAAAACACAAATCCCTTTTCACCCCTTTTATTTCATGGAAAAATCCATGAAATAAGAAAGAGAAATAAAAGAGAAGTCGTCGCTTCACTCACCGGTCTGCACCAGCTTAAGGGTGGCCGCATTGTGCTGCTTGAGCGGCTCATTGAGCCCCGGCTGGGTGAGATCCTTGAGAGGATTGCCGGGATCCTCGGCGGCGGCAGCGCGGCTGTTTTGCATAGTCCGTGTCGTGACGTGTTGCTCGCCGCGGATACCCTTGCTCGCCCTCCTCCTGCGCGTCGTACGCCCGCGCTCCCGTCTCCTCTCCTTCCTCGTCCACGCGTTGCCCTCGTGGCCTCTGGCGCGCTGCTGGTTGCCGCACTCGGCGTCGACAGCGATCACGGCCACTTGACAACTCGCACGGCGATCCCCGGTCAACACTGGGCGGCAGGGATCACGGGGATCCGGGCTCTCATAGATACGCAGCAACTCGTCTGCCGGATAGATGACGTACATGCCAAGCGGATGGTTTCCCCGTGGTGTTCGCCCGATCGCGCGTCCAATCTACCGATTTGCTGGCTGCCGTGGCTGCTGCTGCCTCCTCCGCTGCTTCTCCTGCTGCTGCCGCGTCTCTC